TACCCCTCCGTCCCATATCTTGCCTGGTATAGACTTAACTTGCAACTGTATGACTTGTGATGGACTTGCAGAGACTGGTCACGGACTCCTCCGCCAAACTACTGGTAGTTAAAATCCAACTCAACGTTCAAGTAATTGTTACAGCAAGAGAACCAGTTTAATTGAAGTGGTTAAAATTGCTGGTAATTTTTGACGTAGTATCCTTTTTGTGCATGTGGGGATTCTTGATGATCCCTAAGTTTAAAGTCATGTGGGAAATGGCGCGCCAGCTGGTTTCAGACTCAAAATCTAAGTGTAAGGTACTGGGGTTGGTTCAAGCTATGGGCTCCAAGCTGGACCAAGAGAGAGTGCTTTTCCCTTAGCGATGGAGGTTTCTTTGGTACTTACTGCACACAGCAGGTTCACAAATGACAATGAAACGCAAGCGTTGTAGTCGCATCGCTACCAACAAAATGAACACTCCCAACCAACACAGCTATATTTTTAATTGAAGAGGGGGTGCTTCTGCTCAGAGCGGATACGCACACTCCAAGGTCAAATGGGTTAGGCTGTACAAAATTATGTGGCTACGGCTAGCTAGAATGTATAAATGTCTATGGAAGTGATTGTAGCCACTAGCCAATGACTTCAATGGATACATGTGATAAAGGTGGTAGTGACCAAGTCACGTAAATGTAACCTTCAGGTTGTTGTAGGACTCAAACCCGGACTTGAGTCCAGTTTTCGACAGACTAAGACTCATTTTTTTGTATACTGACTCAGACTTTTCGACTTGGACTCAGATCTTTCAGACTCAAATAAACACTGGTAACCTTAGTTTGCAAGTGCATAACATTCCCATTTGGGAGTACCAGGCTGCTCATGATGCTAAAAGAGGTAATCTGCCACTCAAATAGACAGTGAAACCAGTGGAAAGGTCCAGTTCTCAGAGGTTTGAGAGTTTTAAGACAAAGTTACCTACATCTGTGTGACCTCGCCTTGCTCGTCTGTGTAGCAGCTCCGGACCAGGCAGCCCGTCTGGGTGTTGAACAGGTTCTCCTTGATGAAGGAGGCAGCTTGGACGGCCCTTGTGGTGTAGGCTAGGTCGCCCAGCACTTGGCCCCCTTTGGCAAAGCCAGAAATCATCAGGCCTGCAACACAAATGGAAGGTGCACTGAAATTGACGCAAAAAGCTCCCCGTACACCAGAAGTTTTAGTATAACATTGAAGTATAATTGGGGTAGAGTAGGCAACATGCATCAAGCATCGGAGATCCATTCATCACTTCAATACAGGCATTTAACAGCAGTGCACCTCCAAAAGTTTACAATGCACTGGCCAATAACAATGCGTGAAATATGTCGACCCAATGTACATTTAGAAAGGGTCAATAGATTTCGCGTGTTGTGATTGGCCAACGTGTTGCAAACTCTTGGAGGCGCACTATTGTGAATTGCCCGTATCGCAGCCCGCAGTTTGCCATGTTGATATGTTCAAGAATTAGCTTCCTTCGTTTTCTCTAGCTTTTTTTCCTCTCTAGCGCATGCAGTGAAACGTCGCTATACCGAACACCGCTATACCGAACATTTGGCTGTACCGAACATCGTCCTTGGCTCCCAATATTTTGTGCACAAAACCTACCAAACACTATGCAGTTGCCGTTTGTAATTCCCGAATGTCAACTTGATAAAACAGGCGTTTTTTATGTTGGAAAGTGACAAGTGGCCATTATTTCCCCAAGGATTTGAAGGGGCAGCCACTAGTTGTTGAAGAGTTAATTGTCATTAACTAGCTGACAAACTGGGTACATGGGTCTGCACTTGTTCAAAGTCGTCTTCTAGTGACGGCCAGGGTATGCACGGTTAATCTGCCAACGGTATTGAATAGACACTGGTTTTGCGATTCCGCATGATTGGGGGCGGAAGAAAACCACACGCGCATCGTGGCATTGCACTGACATTAGTCTAAAGAGGGCGCCGCTGATACACAAGCCACCAGGATTCGTCACAGTATGCATCATCAGAGATTGATCCGCAGTGGTAGCTTCACGACTTTTAGGATAAACTTGAAATCAATTTTGCAACTTAAGATTTAATAAAAAACAAAAATAATTGACAGATACATTTTTAGAAACCTTAAACGTGAATGCAACAGCAAACCATAGTATCACAAGAGGGTGCACTTCAGTTAGACAAGAGAGGGCGCTATTCAATACGGCAATGAAACATTTGGCAGTAAATTTCGCTAAACCGAACTACTGCTGTACCGAACATTTAGCATGGACCCCGTCGTGTTCGTTATAGCGGCGTTCCACTGTATATAAACCCCCCCCCAAACCCTGAAAGATTCTAGGTACCAAGGGTGCTATCTGAGAATCAAAAATCAGTTTCCATCTTGGGGCCAATAATTTATTTTTAATTCTGAAATCCTTGATTAGTAAGTACATGTTTAAATTGTTTTTTTTTAAAGTGTAAGCAAATTATTCGCATTTCAACTTTCAAAAAGCATCAAGTCCATCTACAGGTGGCTGGGCTCGTAACTCCTCAATTTCGAAATTTCTAAAACCTTCTGGCAGATTGTGAAAGACTTTAGAAGGTAGGGGAAAATGTCTTGGAGAAAAGGCCAGAGGGCAAAATCATAGCGGAAAATAACGCTGCCACCAGACAAGCCCTTTTTTTTTTTAAAGCATGGCGGAAACAACAGGAGGGCGCTATTTGAAGTGGGTAAATTAAGAGTGAACAATATGCACATACAGATTTCTTTTCTGACTTTTCCCGCTGGGGTTTAGTCTGCTTTTGCTGTGCTTACTGCCTAACGGTTTCTGTGAAGTAAATGAAGGCTTTCTGCTGACGCAACTTTGGCGGTTAAGCAGCGCTGTGAAATTGTGACCCAGGTAGTGATGTTATTGAGGGTGTTTCTGTTAATACCATTCCAACTGGTGAGGACTTTGTCATCCAGGTGTGGCTTAGGCCTCTTCAATCGCTCATCGTACAGGATCCCCCGTGCCTTGGACAGCGCCCTCTCTGTCGAAGCCTCATCCAGGTTGAAGCTGTTTGCAGTTACGGCCACTGAACGGCGCACTATCAGGACGTTCTTCTGTTTGAGTTCACCGTGAGGATCCTATTAAATGATTTACAGGAAGAAATTTCCAAAAATGTCCTTCAGCATGTGATTAAAAAAAACAAACCAGAGCCTATTCAGCTTTGGATGTGCACAGAAAAAGGTCTGAATTATAATCGTTAACTGTGTTGCAATCACTCGTGCCCATGATCTCTGATGAGTTTCACGAACACATGAGAATGACGTATCGTAACTGTATTTGGCATGACTGTTGGAGGTACACAGTAAACAGACGTCAGATTTTCTCCCAAGAAAATTCTAAAGCACACACTAAACTGATTGAGGGGATATCATGTTAGACGAGAGAATACGCTTACATCACCAAGATATTTATCAAATGTACCATTTTAAAGGAGAAAATAAGATGCCTCATACTGTCTTACAATTCAATGGCACGTAGGAATTCTTAAATACATGACGGTGGTGTGTGACTGCCAGCTAATATTGCAGAAAATGTCTCTGACAGCTCTGTGACCTCCGATTTGCACGTGCATATGTGAATATATTTGCTTTCACTTTCAGAGTAAAAAAAAATGGCCTTAATGGAGGACAATTCAATGCAATTGATGACACATGCCCTAGCCTGGGTACATTCTCAAATACTTGCTCATAAGAAAACCATATGAGAGTGTGCACATTCAGTCGAAAATTGGGCGTGCTTATTCTGTGTGATACAACTTCATCAACCAGAGAGCAATGTATCTTGCCTGGGCTTCTGTGAGTAGGCCATAGAGTGCTTTCTACAGTTCCAGGGCCCAATTTAGCAGAGATATTAAGATAAAGTTATTGCTTATCAGACACCAATAATGTGTTTCCTAGACATTCACAACGGCATTTTCATGACCTGCTCAAAGTTGACATTGCCTCCCTTGCGGACGTCGTAGTGCTTGCAGAACACGTCGGCCAACGAGACACTGTCGCTACCTTCTACGGTGTCGCAGAGCAGCTGACGGATCTCTTCTTCCTCCCAGACGCAGAACGCGCCTTCCTTCTTGTGCTCGGCACCATCGGTGGGGTAGGAATCCGCATCTTCTGCGCTGAAGAAACCACCAGCCTGTCAACGAGTGATTAAAGCCGGGTAACATTTTGATGACAACTAGCAGGTGCATTTGTTATTTTAAAGATTAAGCAACATGAAATTCCCTGAATTTTTGTCACGGCTTTTCTGCGACTGAATGGTAAAAAACAATGACCTAGTTCATCAAAATGGGGATCGAAAATGTAGAAATTTATTCCGTCAAAACAGCAAACAGAAATGCAAGCATGGTTTCCATCCTGAAAATATGAACCTAACAAATTAACAAACGTAACAAAAAATTGAACCTTTTAATAATTCCATGACTTTTCCTTGACTTTTCCAATTTTTATTATCGTCCGTGACTTTCCGGGTCTGAAAATTAAAACTGATTTCAAAGACTTTCTCCAATTTTTTTCTAGGCTGCAACAGCCCTGTGAGTTCTTCCGCAGAATTCTAACAGTTTAAAGCTGTGATGTCGGTATTAGTTACTAGAAGTGTGTGATTGGATGAAGAAAGTTCAATAGCAACTGTGATACGGTGCAAAGGGAGAAAACAAAGGTAATCGACCGATTGCGGCTGCTAAATCACGTAACCTATAGTGGGTATCAACCCCATAGCAACGTGTCTTTTGAGTGTCATTCACAAACAATACAACCAGGTTATGGTTTAGTACCCGGTACATCTGTAGTCTGTGTACGGTACCTACCGTCCGCATTATGTTTGGTAAATGATACTTAAGAAACACTTTGCTTTGCTGGACGTCGTGTTTGTTGATATTTAATACCCACTATGGAGTACCGAAGTGTGAAGTCACTGTGAACCAGAAAGTGCAGTGCAAACGAATGGAGTACACGCCCGTGTTGGTTCACGCGCTGGTTCACGCGCTCATGCCTTTTACACACTAATTGTGCGCGAGAAGTATTTACTTCGGTACTCTATGGGTCACATGACTTAGGGGGCGCAATCGGTCTATTTATAAACAAAATACCTTGCTACTTAAATCCCTGGAAACATACTTCAAAATGTCGCGGGCAACATCTGAAAACTTCTCATCCTTTGTGATCTGTTTTGGAAACATGATAAATATTCACACTGTAAACGGAAAAGAGTTTAAAAACAGCTCCTCCTAGTGTCCCAGCAGTCAACGAAAAGATACCGGTAGTGTGGTATTTTCCATCCATCTGAGAAAGCCAAGGTTTGAGGATTATTTCAGTATTACTTGACATTACTTAAACCCTAACCATCCTCAATCCTTCAAAATCCTGCAGGCGGTTTTGGAGGATTTTGGAGGATTGAGACTGCATGGCAAAATTGCATTGCTGATTGTGAAGGATGCATTGTCTCAAGGATGTGGGTTAGACCATGTGTTGTTTATGTTCAGCCATGCATAAATTCAGGCCCACATTATATGTGACATCCTCCATACTGCTCCAGGGTACCGTTCACACTGCCTTGACATCATGAGAGGAATAGCCGGAGAATTTTGAAGGATTAAGGCAGTGGACACCCCTCCACAGAACAACTTCAAGAAATACCGGAGGATTTTAGAGGCCTGAGGCTGTATCCATTTTGTTCATGGGGGCTGTTGGAGAATTTTGAAGGACCGAGGGCGTATCCTAGCTAAAACGGCCTAGGCCTGAAGCCTGTATTATGCAATTTATCATCGATTCAAAGAAAGAATGGAAATATTTACCCGCCTGTCAATTGGAGCATATATGGACAAACAAAATTTGGGGAAATTTGTACATAATTTAGAACATGACCTTTTCTCCAATGGTTTCACGGGTACCAACAATTCTGCATGCATAGGGAAGTTATTTCTCCTGAGGTGAAAGAAATCTGATGAGCATATATGCAGAAAGTCTGTACTGGACTGTTTTATTCCTTTCACACATGCATTACCTGGTAGGCATCCAGATAGGACACAGTGAGTTGACCCTGGTCATACAGCATCTTCTCAAAGTGAGGCACGTGCCAGAACTCGTCCGTGGAGTAGCGGTGGAAGCCCTGCACACAGGAAACGGGTGAGGGGCTTACTTATTGATATCCCACTGGAATGTGAAAGCAAAGGCATTTCTGCAAAGGGGTGGCATTAGCAACTCTCCTGCAAGTGGATGGCACAAAAGACTATAACGTGTAAAGTGCTCTTCATCTGAATGACAACAACCTTCTGTAGGCATCACAATCAAAGGACCATTGATGATCCACAGCTGCGAATGAATATGTATAAGGTACACAGTAAATCAGTAAATATAAATGTAATATATAAAATGAATGGGGGTCAAAGGTTAAGATGGTTGGGACTGGAGAAAAAAAGAGCAGCTCCCTACCCAGGAAATATCCCACACGACCTGCCTCCCCAACAGCCTCCCCTAACCAAACTGCTACTGCTTGGCTTCTTGCGCCGGCCTCTGTTTACATCCGATTGCAGAGGTGTGAAAGGCGAGCTTCTGGTGCCTTGAACCAGACCGCTGCGGGTAGCTGGGGCTCGTCGGCCACGGGAGGCAGCCCGCCTAGGAGAAGGACAACTGTGACCTCAAACCTGGGGCAGGTGGAGCTCGTTAGCAGCTTTAGTCTGCAGTCCACCAAGCCGGACATCATGGCTTGGACAATCTCCGATCAGTGACTGGAGTTTGGCTTGACGTTGCAGCCCCCCCCGGAACTGCTGGTCGTCTCAGGTTCTCATGCCATCGGATCTATTTCCTCGGGGCCAAGACTTGTTAGGTTGGTGGAAGGGGCACCTCCCCCTTCACGTTAATCTCTTCCTTGCCCATGTCTCCTCAGATTAATTCCTCCATGATCTTCTCCTACTAAGTCTTACGGCGACAGGTTGGCAGGGGACAGGGGCAGGTTTTTGATGGAGCTGGAAGCCTCTAGTCTCCTGCATGTATGGTGGTGCAGGTGAGACGGTCTCAGGAGACTAGGACTGAAGCAGTACATCCCCAGAGGCAGCTACCTGCACGACTGAGCAGCCCTATTTAGGGTCCGCACTGCCCACCCCATAGGCCAACAAAAGCCTAAGAACTGCCCGCTTCATTCATCCTGGTCAGGGAACCACACCCCGTCAAGACATAACCACTGACCGCTGATGATCCACACCTATGAATATGCATGAAGTTCATAGCAAATGAGTGAATATGTACCAATGAATATGTAACTTTACCTGTGCTATATGGTCGTGCATTCCTCCTTTGGCCATGAACCGCAATGTCTTCAGGCACATTTCCAAACCTTCTTTCCCTTCTGAGGTCTCCGGCTTGCTGGCGTAATGTCGGAACATGAAGTTGAAGTTGACTACGGAGCGGAGAGAGAAAAATGGAAAAGCTCATCAATCATGTGATGCGCACCTGTTGGCTCAATGCACAACTGGCCGGGAGGCCATTTTCCTTGATTAACCCTAACCCCCTAGGCTCTTGCAATAGAAAGCATACTGAACCTCACAAAATCCAACAGGTTTATGTACTTGTCTATGTACTTGTACATGCAGGTCACTGTACCAAACCTGATAAACTCGAACAGAATGAGCCCGTTGGAGTTTGAGTGATATGGTATGGATGGGTCTATGCAGTATAGAATGACTTGCACTTAAGAGTACCAAACCTGACAAAATCAACCATAGTCCAACAACTAGTACGGCAAGCCAGACACTGCACACAATGAACCCTGCGTGTCCCAACTCACACAAAATCCAACATCATCACCCTGGACCTTTAATACCAAGTCCAACAAAATTCATCAGGAAGTTCACCAGGTACGGTACCAAACCTGCCAAAACCTCACAAAACCTGCTGTTGGAGTATGGCAGGTTTGGGGTAGAGGAAAATGCAGAGGAAATGGGCCCCGTCTGAGTTATGTGTCTGGAGCTAAGTCTAGGTCTTCGTCCGCTGTACTCTGGAACGATTTAACAATACACACATGTCCACCTACGTTTCACTAGTACTGGCTAACTACTAACTTTGTGCGGATATAAAATGAGTGTTACCTTGAGCCAATTGCAACTGCATAACATGATTTAAGAACCATTTTATACCTTAAGCTGCACATTAAATTAAGACACATAAGCCAACAAATTGTACCACAAATGGTGGCTAAACTTATGTTTTAGGTGGCGTAGCTGTGCTGAAAAAATTAGAAAAGGACAATTTTAAAAACAAATCATATTGACGGTAAGGATCATCATTTCTCCACTTGTCAAGGTGTTTCAAGGAAGTGCTCAAGTAAGTTCTTTAGAGGTAATGAAAAACTTGTTTGGCTGTGAGAGAATTTTAAGGTATGCTTCTCAGCTTTGGAAATGAGTACCTTCCACCTGAGGTACAAAAAGTTCCCATAAAACTACATTATTCCTCAAGAAATATGAACAAAATATACACATTCTTAATATCTAGGGAGCAGGCATGCAATCCTTCAGTTGTAAAAAAAAAGAAAAAAATCTGCAAATAAAACTGCCAGCACGAGTTCTAGATGCTCTGTGGTGCATGCAGAGCAGCTGTTGACCACTTGTGATAAAAACTAAGTGACACATTTCAAGCTTTTTTTCACAAAATGCTTCAAGTTGAATTTTTTTGACCTCCTTTGACTTCTTTTCCCAACCAGTCCCACTTCCAATCATTTTGGATGCCTCTATCAACAGTTTTGATACACTCAGGACCCTGTATTCGTTGGATAATGTCCTTCCTTTTTGAAGTCATTTTGAAACTAGACCCAGAAACAGGACCCTTTGTATGCTCCTTCGTTGGTGACGGAGTACACACATGGCCCTGTTTATGGGACTAATGACACGTGCCTACACATTTGATATACTACTCAAAAAAAGTTAAGGACCACTTTTTTTCTTAACTTGTAATTTTTTTCCAAGCAATCAGTGGGGTCTAGTTCTTTTTTTTTTGTTTTTTAGATGGCGTTCTCATTGGAAAAAAAAAAAATTAAAAATGTTTCAAAACATCAAATGCACATTTTCTCAAAATGGACAGTTTCAGGGAAAAGTCAAATGACAAACTAACCAGTGGTCCTTCACTTGTTTTGAGTAGTGTATTTCGATCAATGTAGGCCCTGTATATATGTCCAACCACCTTTGTCCAACGTGTTTATCATGCGCGTGCATGGTATAGTATTCGTATTCCTACATATTCAATAACATGAGGAAACAAAATGAAACCAGACTAATAGCTTGTAGTCAATAGAGGGCACTCTAGCAACAACTTCATTTTCTATGGTTTTAATATGCACACTATGGAGCCTGTGTCCTGCCACATTTTGTTCTTCGTTTATTGTGGTGTGCCAGCAGCGAAGTGGTTACCTGTCCATTTCTGCAGGCGCCACAGACTGAAACAAGTGCCGAAAACGCAGAATTTATTTGGCTTTTTTAATGGCTGGATGTTTTGAAAATGCAGAAATCTGCAGATTGACGGAACAGTTGAATGCCTGTAGGGAGTAGAGGTACCTGGCTGTGGGAATTTGGGAGCTCCACCAAAACCCCCATACTGAGGCTCAAAGCTCCGTGCTAGCTGTCGATAGCAGGTGCTGATGCTAGCGTCTACGGCCAGGGCCCCTCCATCCGATGGCGCCTTGGTGACGGTTGCCCTCTGAAGGGCATCTAGGATCTCGCTGGCTTGTTGGCTCATCTTGTCTGGGTCTTGGCGCCACTGGTTGGAAAAAAAAACCACAAGATACCCATATTGGATGGTAAGTTGGTGGAAAGTCTACTCTCTTTGAAACAACAAGACACTTCTCAAACCCAGTATGTGCAACATTTGTTATTCACCCTAACCCCCTAGCATGTATGTAAAATCATACTGAAATTGGAGGCCTGTTACGTTAATGATTCAGACCGCATAAAGGTCACAAGCTTTGAACGTCATATTGTAAATAATGATGTTTCTCTTCAGGAAATATGGACTCTAAAGTCAAAGCCTATAATCATAGAACTGGCAAAAGCTTGAGGCAAAGCACAGGCTTGAGAAATGGCTAGGTTCACAGAACAGTTCACAAAACTACCGAGCAATAATGCAATCAGAAAACTTTCTTACGTTTCACATTTTCTCATTTGATAGACTTTAAAAAATGAAAAATCCCAACACTAAAGGTATTTTGTTCATTGAGGAAGTGTGCACACATTGTTTTGCATGTTTGGGAGTTGTCAAGAAAGATTAAAATTGACATGACAGTACTCGGCATTAAAAGCTTAAATTGCAACCTTACCTGATGGGCAATGCTCTGGACAATGGTGCCAAACTCTGGACGGCCAAAGGGGTCAGTTGGTGGGAAGTATGTCCCCCCTGATCATGGGCTTTAGGTCAGGGGTCAACCAGACGCTTAAACTGCAAGCTTACCTGATTGGCAATGCTCTGGACAATGGTGCCAAACCCTGGACGGCCAAAGTGGTCAGTTGGTGGGAAGTATGTCCCCCCGACGATGGGCTTCAGGTCAGGGGTCAACCAGACGCTCATTGGCCAGCCACCGCCCCCACTAGATGCCTGTAAAGAGAACAACACAGAACAATTGACCATTCCACGAGTACTCTGCATGGATAAGTAAACTTCACCTGCCTTGCACCGCTAACTGACATGACGCCCCCTTCAGTTTGTGTAGCAATGCACGAACACAGGGATCACATGGCCATGTCCGTATCACGTATATGGCTATGGCTTGAAATTATATACGATTCTATGGGAACTGGCTGCATCCACTACCATAGACACCTTCTGATTTCAAGCCACTGCTAAGTAATAGGGACATGGCTGAAAATATGGATATCCTTCATTTACCCTCACTGCTGGGCAACACGGCATCCTTTTTACTTTGTACACAGTGTCTCCAATCATCTCAGGTACCATACTCATCTCAGGAAGTACACGGTCCGGTTACAATGAACACCCTGCTGAAAGCTGAAAGCCCTGTGGATTGGCCACCCGCTCACCTGAATGAAGGTCATGTACACCCGATCAACATCCGGCCGCTCCTCTCGGTCCACCTTGATGCTGACCAAGTGCTTGTTCATCAGCGCTCCAATCTCTTCATTTTCAAAGCTCTCCCGTTCCATCACGTGGCACCAATGACATGTGGAGTACCCGACTGCAGTATCAAGCGAAACATGGGACAAGTTTGTACAGTAACTGCGTCGCCTCTTACCAAGCCAGTGAAGAAAGTATTGTGAGTGTGCACCGGTTTGCATGTGGATAAAGTATACTTGTATGCGAGTGCCATCTATTTTCGTCAGAATGTGCACAGAATGGTTGCATGTAGAGGAATGCCGCTGCACTTGAGCACGCTAAAACACAAACTCAAGTGTCTTTCAATATTAAAAACGTCTGGATGAAAAACTTGACACCAAGCCACAAATAAAAATTGGATCAGATGTTGGCATCCACTTACAACACCACAATCAGATTTGTAAAAACCTCAGAATAGCCAGAAAGAAGTCTGCACTCTGATGGCAATAGGAAGTGGGTCCATCCTGTACCTAAGAAACTTACAACATATTTGAGGTGCTAGAATGTATAAAAAAAGGCACAGAAATACAAACAAAAAATGAAATGTAAACCTGAAAGGAATATGAGCTTGTTTTCTCTCTTGGCCTTCTCAAAAGCCTCCTGTCCCCATGGATACCTACAGAAAATACAAAAGATATCTGCCGATGAAGTGCACACATCTTCTTAGCAAAGGTGGGTTACCAGCCGAAACTTTCTACGACCTTTGCGTAGTTTGCTTGTAACTGATCTCATGTGATTTTTGCTGAGAAAGAATTTTGCTTCAACTCTGTAAAATGAGGCTCTGATGTTTTTTTTTTTTTTTTCCAAACACGCCATATAAGCCAACATGAAGTAAATTTTGAAAGGAACACGAGGACGGAGCATGTGACATTTAGCAAACGGGTTCTCATGTGCATTGAAAGTGTGCCCCTCACTTTGAATATTTAGACAGAGTATTCCTTTATGTAAGCCACATAACATGCAAAAGATGCTCAACTGTTTGGGTTGCCTAGTCATTTAATGGCACAACAGTGGAAAAAAAAAACTTATTTTTTAATATTATTATTTTCACATGTATTTAAACTGACCCTTCCTTCTAAGAGCAACTGAGACTATTACGTAACTCCTGTATGGGTTATTTTGTGAATCTGGAGTACAATTTTTTGTGTCTCTGTTACCTATGACATGACATAATATTTTGCATGTCTAGAACACATTCTTCAATTACCAGCAGTGATTGAGGAATGCAAATTACTTGCCAAACAAGTAAAAATAGTTTGAAGTCAACTTCAATGATCCATGCCAAATTACACAGGTTGGACGTACCAGGGATACAAAAATGTCCCATTTTTGGACCCTGAATTTTATAGAATGACATGTTTTTTGTCTGCGTAATGACAGCCATGACCCACCAATCAACAGGGTTGCTGGCATGTTGCAAGAGGTATGGAGACTTCTCATTGGCCAGTCGATTCCTGTGCTGTTTTGTAGCTGATGAGCCTCCGGTGGCCATTTTCCTCAAAACTGTCCTGCGTCCAAAAGTAAGCACATTACAGATTTGGGCTACTTAGGTCTGGCATCAAGGTAAATTAGCAGCAACTCACTAGGTGCTTTGCCAGGATACTTTCTGAATCCACCAAAATCTGCCATTGTGTATAAGAAGTCAATGGCACATTTTTGGTATCTTTGAACTTCTGAGAGGCTGTAAAGCCCAGCTGTGGCTGGGCTCAACAATTTTCAATCCTCCAAAAGGTTCTTTAACTCCCTGGCAGATTTTGAAAGATCTGGTAGGGTTAGGGTTACGGGCTAATAAATGCAATGTGAACATTATGAACTCCATTTACAAATGATAACAAAGTGTGGCTGTGTGATTGAATGATGTTTGTGTGAACCATTAATGGTTTTGGTATCAATGTTAGTGCAAAATGATAACTAAGGGCAATGTCATCTCTTAACTCTACAAATCCATAAGTCACATAACCAAATTCACCTCTGACGGGTACTTTCACACAATGCTGAATCCGGCACGAAAGTTTGGAAGGGTGTAAATTTTCTTCAGGGTGGCAAAAAATGTTGAGAATTTTTTTTGTCGAGAACTGCAATATTTGATCCTCTTTGGGCTTAGTACATGCTTCAGGAAGGAATGGAACGAACACGGTCCTGTTAAATCACCTTGTTTTCTTATTACAAATTAAAAAAACCCTGGGGAGGGGGCTGACATGGCCCTCATAGGCCCCCCATGGATCCATCATTGCTTTCATGCTGAGTCCATCAGGGTTTATTAGGAAGTCATCTAAAGTCCAGTCAAACCCAGTTCAGGGCCAGTCGCATCACTGGTATACATCTGGGTTTGCCTTCGGACACCTTTTAAAATACCCACTTCTTTTGTTCTGTATCAACTTTTATATGTAAAAAAGAAACACCTAAATGGTAAACTCTGGATTTTTAATGGAATTGTTCAAGCATTCTTATTTTGGTAGTTCACAAGTGACATCAATCTGGTTTCACATTCTGTCCTAGCGCCTCAGATTAGTCTTCTAGATAGATGGCGCTTTGCAAGTGTTTGTTTATTATTTATCATTATTAAATAAAAATTTACAAAAGTCAGAAAATCCTGATAAAAAATATTGAAATCAGTAAAGATTTTTGACAGTCACACCGCTCTTCCAGACAGCATTAATCGAAGCATCATTTTCAACTTGGATGAACAGTCTAAGACAAGAATGAGACTGTTTCAAATTTGTGTAGGCATTTGTCGTTTCAACACACACACACAAGTGTGTATTTGCCTGCAACTGGGGACCCCCTATTGTTCCTCTTTTGTTTGTACTTTAACTTTTTTAGAAGACCACCCATACGCACCTGAAAAATGACAGTGAGTTAGTTCTGTTTTTCCAGGTTCCAACTTTAGACGAAGACAAATGAACTCTCAGATCATGTCTAAGGAGTCCGAGGATTGGCCCACTCATCACAAACTGAATCAGATGGACAAAGAGTGCGAAATTTGCATTTAAGATGGGATTATGTAAACGTGTTTGTTAAATTAGGTTTCAAGGTAAACTTACACGTACATTACTCAGATTGGAAAAAACTAGCAGGGCGGGGAATTTATGTTTCATTTGTTATGACTTCCATTTCTTCACATCTGAAGTTAATCAAAGAACAGAGTCTGACATATGGTGCAAAATCTCGTAGCGGACAAAATGGACATGAAACCTACAATATAATGCATACCATTCAGCCATTTTATGGCATCATATTTTTTATGGCCTGGTTTAAGACAGTTTGCAAATGAATTAACATTCTATTAAATATGTGAATATTTCAGAAACATGACAGATTGATGAGGCACACGTACGTGACGCAACCGTACACGAAGCGACATTATGCTCTGTGGGAGGGGGAGTTCCCCCTCCCCCGAAGAAAAAATGTATTGATAAATAACAATGGGAAAAAAAAAAAAAAAAAGAGATAAATTTTTTTTGGGATGAGAATCACAGGTTAATGGTACTGTGGATTTAGTGAGAAGTTTCACTGACAAAAATAACTTTTGGAGGGTAAAAAGTACCTCCCTATCAGAAAACAAAAACAAAAAAGCTGCCCTGCGTGACATGCAGTCAGGCAGGGAGGCAAACCTAAAACTCAATTTTCAGAAGTTTTTTAATTCAAGGATGTGGTTGCCATAGTTACAGAGACACTTCACCACTAATGCATCAGGAGGCTTTATTTTTTGGAGGGGGAGAATGGAATATCCAGGTAATGCTATTGTTTTCATAAAATAACATGTCAGCCAGGTCAGCTCAACTGCAGAATACCCTGCCAACCCGCATGATCAACCTCATAGCCAGGTACAGGTCAAAGTGTCACATTCTTCTCAAGGGAGTTTCACCTTGTACCCATGTGACCAGTCATTCTAGGGGTCGTTTTTTTAGAGTGACGGGGCATTCTGTAGTGGTGGGAGAAACATTGCATTTTAACAGAAGATTAAATAAAAATAGAAATTTTCAAGATGTATTTTTGCGTTGGGGAGATGTTAATTATATTTAACAGGTTTGTTAATTATATTTAACAGGTTAAGACATCTGCACTAGTAAGCAGGAGGTCGTGGATTCGAGTCCCACCCGAGTAAGCTCGTGAGGTTTTTTCGCAAGCTCTCGGACAAGCACTGAGCATACAGTGCTTATTAATATACGTTGGGTAAGGGCAAACCTGTTAAATATAAAAATAGAAATTGTTTACAGACTTGTGTAGGGCCTATATCTAGAATCATAATGCTCAGGTGAGATTGGAATGGAGTGCAGCCACAGGCAAGTGGCTTGAACCTGAAGTAGCCACTTCCTCTATTTTGCCTCTATCAAGCATTACATGTACAAAGCATGCACGAGTACTAAGGCAAAGCTGAAGTTGAAGTGGGCTGGCCATACAAACTTCTACAACTAAACAAGTTAAATTTGGTGCCAGGCAAGTTGACGTAAAAACATCTAATTCCCCTTATTGTCTCTTGTCTGTCACACACTTTATACTTATTTAGTAAGAAGCCATCTGCATTCACGCTTGTATTTAAACACAGAACTAAACTGTGCCGATATTTGGAGGAAATTACCCAACTTACGAGACTCACCAGACTGCGACCAATTTCGGCTGAAAAATGAGCGATTCCCAACCGTTGAAAAGCGCATTTCTAACATACTAGAAAGGACGGGACCCGCCTATTTAAAAAACATAAACATGGCGACGAGTTTGCAAGTGCGGGAGAGGGTGCGACCTTCAAGAAATTGTGCAAAAAAGACTGACCGCTCGGCGATTCTGAAGAAACAGGAGGTTAAAGAAAAAGAGAGAAAGGTGAGGAACTTTATTCAGTGTTTTTTGTTCCGGTTGATGTGTCAGATCATGCTGTGATGAGCTTGTCAGAGATGCTTCGTACTGATGAATTGTAGGCCTCTACTTGTGGGCCTATTTAAAATTGTGTAGGGCATAGGTGGGCCGACACACGACACAGCAACCCCTACCATCACCATTGAAAATGAATACCTACGGTGATCAGGTCTCTTGGATATGATTGGTCGCTGAGCGATCGGTCGATTTTCGTGCGATCGGCCGATCGCCTTTTCAAGCTAATTCGCAGTTCTATATGATTGTTTGGGGAAAGGGAGGTTAATTTGGAGATTTACTACAGGATTGCGCAAGAATGTGACCATGTATGTAGATCAGTCAACCGCACCCGTACATTATATTAATTGTTGGGTGTGATCAGCCAATCTGCATGATCACCTAATCACTCTGTACAGTTAGTCAATTCTGCATGAAATCTCTAATTTTATTTCCCTTTTTGAAACCATCTTTCACTGTCGTGAACAAGAAACAGCAAGTGGCCGATTCCAGAACCATTAACAAATCATGCACTAAGATATGCTAATCATGTTGAGATTGATCAATCATGCATATTGACCAATCACAACAAGTGGAAACATGTCATTTGTTAGCATAGGGCCTAGTGTCGGGCGCGAACAGCCATGTGCCTGATTGGTCTATTGTGCTGTGCTGTCAGTCAATCCTGTTTGAAATCTCGGCTTTTACTTTCAAATTTAGTTTACCTTTTACTCCCATGTCAAAACAGTCTTCCCCGACCATAAATTGGAAAGAAAAGGCTGGTGGTAGGATTATCAATGGATCTCGTTGCGAGATGTACCACTAAGCATTGATTGACCAATCACACAGATTGTCTGAAAGTAGCTCTGTGATGTAATTCGCTTTGGCTTGAATGTCATTACTTCCACCTTTCAATCTTGTTTTAAGGTCAGAGAGGTTCTTGCCAAGCCGGCCAAGCTCCGGACCAAAGATGACAGAAGGCTGCTGCGGGAGTGCAAGGATGTAGCCAAGGAGCTAGAACGTCGGGCGCGACTCAAGGAGATGGTCAAGAGGAAGACACTGGAGGTGATTGGCTGAACAGAGTCATGTGACATGCTACTCTGGACTAAATTATCTTGGAGTTTGAATGCCAGATTTCAGCAAATCTCATTTAGGATCTGAATATAGTGAAGCACAAACATTTTTTATACCCTGAATAAAAAGGTTGAAGCTGGCAGTAATATTTTTGGNATCCACCAAGCTTTAAACAAGCTCAACTTTGAGTGCCAGCTGCAAACCTAGAACCTATTTTTAAGGGCGGCAAACACCGATTCCATCTCGGACTGATTGTAAGATTGTAATTTTTTTTAAAATGGTGAATGGGCCGGCCATACGTGCTTGGCAAACTTAGGGGGCGAGTCGGTCAGGAGGCGAGTCGGTAAGGGGGCGAGTTGGCTAGGGGGCAAGTTGGTAAGGGGCGAGCTGGTAAGGGGCGAGTCGGCCAGGGGGCGAGTTGACCTACAATCGGTGGGCCGACACACGACACAGCAACCCCTACCATCACCATTGAAAATGAATACCCACGGTGATCAGGTCTCTTGGATATGATTGGTCGCTGAGCGATCGGTCGATTTTCGTGCGATCGGCCGATCGCCTTTTCAAGCTAATTCGCAGTTCTATATGATTGTTTGGGGAAAGGGAGGTTAATTTGGAGATTTACTACAGGATTGCGCAAGAATGTGACCATGTATGTAGATCAGTCAACCGCACCTGTACATTATATTAATTGTTGGGTGTGATCAGCCAATCTGCACGATCACCTAATCACTCTGTACAGTTGGTCAATTCTGCATGAAATCTCTAATTTTATTTCCCTTTTTGAAACCATCTTTCACTGTTGTGAACAAAAAACAGCAAGTGGCCAATTCCAGAACTATTAACAAATCATGCACTAAGATCTGCTAATCGGGTTAAGATTGATCAATCATGCATATTGACCAATCGCAACAAGCGGAAATCTACCTGCCTGATTGGTCTATTGTGCTGTGCTGTCAGTCAATCTTGTTGGAAATCTCGGCTTTTACTCTCTAATTTGGTTTACCTTTTACTCCCATGTGAAAACAGTCTTCCCCGACAGTAAATTGGAAAGAAAAAGCTGGTGGTAGGATTATCAATGGATTTTGTTGCAAGATGTACCACTAAGCATTGATTGACCAATCACACAGATTGTCTGAAAGTAGCTCTGTGATGTAATTCGCTTGGGCTTGAATGTCATTACTTCCACCTTTCAATCTTGTTTTAAGGTCAGAGAGGTTCTTGCCAAGCCGGCCAAGCTCCGGACCAAAGATGACAGAAGGCTGCTGCGGGAGTGCAAGGATGTAGCCAAGGAGCTAGAACGTCGGGCGCGACTCAAGGAGATGGTCAAGAGGAAGACACTGGAGGTGATTGGCTAAACACAGTCATGTGACATGCTACTCTTGACTAAATTATCTTGGAGTTTGAATGCCAGATTTCAGCAAATCTCATTTAGGATCTGAATATAGTGAAGCACAAACATTTTTTATACCCTGAATAAAAAGGTTGAAGCTGGCAGTAATATTTTTGAGTTAATATCGCCTAAAAACTTTTTATGTTACCTCGTCCAAGAATTATAACCCGCAAAAGAAAACAGTTACCATTTTGCTAACAGTAAATAAATAAATGTCATATTAATATAAAGGAAATTTGATATAAGAGCAAGCTAGCAGAGCAATTAGCATGGTGCTTCTTCCATTTATCCGTTTAAAAAAAATTTTTTTAACAAATTTTGGTCTTAAACTACCCTCCGCATTCTGCAGTCTTCAGTTATATTTGTTTAAAAAAAACAACCCAGATTGATATGATGTGGTTTTCTGCCAGGTTGAAGACAGCAGTGATGTCCTGGAGGCCAAAGTGGAGGAGCTGGTGTCGGCCATCAAGCGGTCGAAGCACCCAGTGGTCTACACCGGGGCAGGAATCAGCACGGTCAGTGGCGGCCAGAGTTGTAGTTCAGTTGACCACTCTGTGCTTAGGATAACGAAATGTTCTTGTTTGGCTTGACTTGTGCCAGACTCGAAGCGAGTCCTCGAGCCTTTTGGCCCGAGTCAGAGTCCAAAGAAATGAGTCCGAGAGTCTAGCAAAATGTGGGAATTGAGTGCAGACTCAAATTGTATAACACTTGTGTCGGCAGGTTTAGACTTTGGTCCACAACTTGCACTGTAAGGAGAGTTGTTGTTATCCCTTTTAACCACCATTTCTAAACCAGGTTGCAGAAATAATTACAAGCGATCATCTGGAAAATAATACCTTGTTACACTTGAACACTACAAACTCTACATCCTTCATCCCTTGGGAATACCAACATTTTCTGCAAGCATTTTTTGGAAGAGTGAATATTATAAACCTTGGAGAGGAATGATCAAGCAACAAGGCTACCTTCTTCAGCCCTGGTTGGAATGACGGGTCACATTTAAAATCACATTTGCTGTCAAAGGTCTAAATATTTGCTTTTTTCCCTTTCATTGTTGATTTTTGTATTTTCTTTTTTTTTTTCATTTTGTTTTGTTCAGGCAGCTTCCATACCAGATTACAGGGGGCCAAGTGGGGTGTGGACCCTCCTACAGAAGGGGCAAGAAGTCAGGTAACATGGATAAATATCAGGGAAAGAAGCGTGGAATCAGTCCAGCTGTCGCTTCCATTATGCCTTGAAAGGACAAATTTGAAGAATGTGCTTTGTTGTGTTTCAGGAAGGTTCACTGTGAATGATACTCAGGGAATTGGGTTTTTCACCCATTCATGATATGCCAAATTTATGCCCGATGCTCTTCGTAAGTTTCAATCATTTCTTTTTTTAGGACTAAGTCCCTGGTTGATGCAGACCCGACCTTGACACACATGGCAATTACAGAACTGCAGCGACAAGGTGTGGTAAGTGGAGGAACAAAAGTGAATGATTTTTAGGCCTCGGTAGAAAAGATTCAGACAGTGGAATTGACAGAATTCGCTTCTTGATGTGGACGTCACCTTCAGAGAGTCTGTATAGTGATTGTCTATATAGAGATGATACATTGAAAATTGCACAACTCTTGTTCTTAACATTTACCTGCATTATTGCTATTTCCAGACACTGTTGGTGATGTGAACAGATGTGGTGCACTGCTTTTGATATTGAAATAGAATTTAAAATACAGGCATTTCACAATAGTGCGCCTCCAAGAGTTTGCAATGCATTGGCCAATCACAGTGCACGTAATCTGTTGACCCAATGTGCATTTGGATAGACAGATTTCGTGGGTTGTGATTGGCCAAGGTATAGGCGCACTATTGTGAATCTCCCGTATTATCTAAAATTGAACAAGTTTACATTTTTGAGTTTGAATAATTGGATGTACATAAGAGTATTGTGACCAATAAAATATCCGGGGTGATTTGGTTGGAAATGATGCTTGCCCTCTTTGATTTTTCTAATGTTTCCTTTCGTTAATTGAAATGCAGGTCCAACATGTCGTTTCTCAAAACTGTGACGGTCTGCATCTACGCAGTGGTCTGCCACAGAGGGTGCTGTCTGAGGTCCATGGCAACATGTTCATAGAGGTGAATCACCCCCACCCATCCCCCTGTAGCCTAGCAACGCCCATTCCATGTAGCCCACTCCACTGACCGTGGTTCTCACACTTTGTGGGGAAAAATCTTTCCTAATAACCAGCCAACAAGATAAGGTGAAATCTTAAAAACTTAGCAAACTAGCATTTCAAAATAGCACTTTGTTGAACCCAATCCATTTACAAGTTTTTTGAACGACAAAACCAACAAGGAACAACTGAGAAGCGTACCCTAAACAGTCTGCCAAATTTTCATGTACTTTTTTCACTGTTTTTGAATTCTAGCATAGACGTATCAAGAAAGCAAAAGGTAGTGCCTCAGGCACATAATGTTTCTAATAACCTGTCATTATCTTATGTTTGTCATAACAGGTATGTACAGAATGCAAGCCCGAAGTAGAGTACGTCCGTCTGTTTGACGTGACGGAGAGAACGGCTTGCAGACGGCATTTCACCGGTCGCTTCTGTCATACCTGCGGGGGACCGCTCAGGGATTCCATTGTTCACTTTGGGGAGAAGGGAGCTGTCCAGCAGCCATTGAACTGGTCTGGTGCTGTCGCCGCTGCCAAGGAAACAGACATGATATTGTGTCTGGGTTCCTCACTTAAGGTATTACGGTCTTTGCCAGCTTAACTGTCAGAATTATTTTATGTTATAACTAGGACCAGATTGTTTGGTAGACCTTACTCCGTCTTAGGTTCCAGCACAGTTTCATCGCACTGGTTCAGTGCATCTCTACATTTTTGTGCTTGTACTAAGCCATGTACGAGCTAGTTCGAAGCTTCTCCTGTTCAGAAAATGTGTAGAGAAACTTCTGTTGTGTTTGGGGCATTTTTTGGTTGGCCCTTGAAAAATCCAGCTCTGGTTAAGGCATTACCCTCCCCCACAGATTTTGTTTCTTGATTGGCTGAGAGGGTGTCACACGTAAGTGGCTATTATTCTTTTTATATGCTAGACACACACAGTATTATGCCATTTGAAACCAGAGTTCCATCTCTTTTCTGAAGCACTGAAGAAAAGGATGTGAATATTTGCACGGAATAACGCCTTTCCCATCAACTTAATGTATGGATCGTGTGGTATGGTTCCCTCGCTGTGAGTTTGTGCACATGCTGGTGAAATTTAATCTGAGCGACATATTGGTTGTGTTTCGTGTAGGTCCTGAAGCGATACACCTGTCTGTGGGGAACAAGCAGAGTGAAGTCCAAGCAACCGAGACTGTACATCGTTAACTTACAGGTGATATTTCCTGTTTATTGTTGAAACTAAATTGAAAGTTGCGTCGAGGACCACAGGGTGTGATGGAAAGATACTAATGTACCGTGTGATTACATGGTTCCTGCGAAATATTGGCCATCGTTGCAATAGGCGAACATTCCAAAGCTTTTTCAAGGTTTGCCGAACACTCCTTTTGCACAGTATCAGGGTCTTTGCCTATGACAACGGCAGAGGTACTTTTGGTCGTGTGAGTTAGAGAGAGCATCTTATAGAGGTTCCACATGTCAGCCATCTTTCCAGTAAGTGCTTTTGTCGCAGAGGGATAGTACAAAAGGTCTACTCATGTGTATCCTTGTGGAATAAAGCTCTTACCAGAAAAATGGCTGCCATGCAGAACCACTGTTGGTAACTGGTGGTTCAATCTTGATGTACTATGCACCTGCGCGCCAATATGAGAGTTGGGAGTGTCAGTGGTCAAGCTATGATCAAAACCCCCCCAAAAATGATTAGTATATTCTCTTTTTTTTTAGTGGACACCGAAGGACAAGATGGCGGTGCTGAAAGTCCATGGTAAATGTGACAGTGTGATGGAAAAAGTTATGGCCAAGTTGGAATTGAAGATACCCAAGTATAAAAGGTATACGTTTTGTTTGTTCCATCCATAACGATCTTCCATGCATACAGAGGACTCTTTTTTCTAAAGTTAAACATTTTTAAATCTTGATCATTCAGGCAGTTGAAATTCTAGCAAACCTGTACATGCAACCGTGGTGTTTCGATTAAAGTTGTTTCCGAAATATAATTCACAGAGTTGTAACTTCCCTGCATTGTAGTATGCTCTCTTTTTTGTGCTGTAGGTCACATGATCCAATTTTCACCATGGCGACTCCTCTTCGGAAACAGGAACTGGACACGTTCAGCACCAAATTATTGCAACCTCTGCCGGCTACCGGACCAGTCCTGCAGGAACCAGTTCAAACCAGTTCAGGACAGAAGGAACCGGTTACAACTGGTCCCAGCCATGTCAGTGTGAATACCAGTGATTCACTGGTAACCGCGCAGTCTTCTGATGCTGGGACTGTCAAGGCAGAACTAGCTGCCAATGCGAAGAGAGATGAACATGAAGAATTGCCTGTTCACAGTGAGCAGGGTCACTCAGCAGCTGTGCTGGCAAAGCCAGGCTGGTTCGGGAAGGGCTACCACAGGAAAGTGACGCGAAGTAGAAAACGGAGAAAATTGTCTCAAGATTCTGCGTAGTTAGTTGTTCACAAGCACAATGGATAGAGGAAAAATGATGGAAAGACTATATGATTGTAAAATTTTAGCTGCACATATTTCAGTTTTATACAGTTATTCCTTTTTGTCTTCTGCAAAGAGCAGTATGCACAAATGATAGAAAGGTGAGACCAAAGTTTGTTACATGTATTTTCATTGGGCCTTTGGAAATGGCATTGTTACAGGCTGTAGCTATCAGCCCTCTCATACTTCTGACCAGCATAATTTAGTCGCAGCCACATGGTCTGAAACCAGAGACTCAGGACTAGGGTGGATTGTCGGAGATGTTTCTTTCTGTGGAAGGGAGCTACTCGGAATCTCACTGGTTTACTGGGTTAATTTATGAACTGTATTTAGGAAAGTATAACAATGCAGTGTCACTATAACAGATCTATCAGTAATTTAGGAAGTAACAAAGGAGTCAAGTTTAAAAATGCTACACGTGGGAACGAATGTTTTATCCCGATAGCACAGTGAAATTGGTTAACAATACAAGCTACAGAGGGATTCCAATCAGTGCAAACATAGCAATCAGCAAGATCTTAGTAAAGTAATTTCTTCGTGTGATGAACTGCAAGGATTTGACTAATTTTAATTGTTCGTTACGACTCTGCATTCTTTCCTCAAATCAGCCATTACATTTTTGAGACGTTTGTCTTGTTTCTTGTAATGCCTGACACAAGCTTTCTTTTTAAGGTTTTGCCACCTTTCGGGGCCTATCATCTCATACACTGTTAGTACTTTAATATATTTTGCCATGAGAAGGAAGTGAATGTAATTGAATTGGTCTCTAGAATCTGTCAAGTTGCACATCACGACACATTAATCTCACCGTGGAACACATCCAAACACCTCACACATGCATGGTACGTTAAAAACTTGTCTCCTCAAAATTTATTTCATAAACTTGTCTTCCAAGCATTGACTAATCTCTGAGATTACAATTACAACATGATACATGACTCCGCACAGTTAAGTGCTCGGCATGAGGCGATGATACCGGACTCAACTAGAGACGAGACAGTGTGCTGCATCTTCACAGACTGGAGTTTATGCTCGTGGCTGGTATCATTTTGTAACACCATTTCTTTCCTTCTATAAGTTAATACAGAACCACCGAATTAGTGTCAATGCCAACAGCAGTTAAATTAATTTAATATGATATGTTTACAAATTTAACCAAATTTCATTGTGGGTACATCATTTCCTAATACTGGCAAATGTACGTGAATTAAGTGAGCAAGTTAAAGATAATCAGATTTCATGGTTGTTACATGGTAATTTTTGTATCTTTTTTTTTTCCTTTTACTGGTGGATGGAAAACTTACACAGAGGTATTGCATTCTTGAAGATGGATATGTAGTTAGATTTCCATTCACATGTGGAGTAAATATGCATCATAAATAAACAAAGGACAAATACATTGCGTAACAAGACTTCCTATAGTTGTGTTTAATTGAAATTGTCACTAACGGAGAAAAATATTGACGACATCAGCTAATGCGAAGTTGAAGGCCAGCATTACAGGATGTTTTGTTTCTCAAAGATTCTGAACCTTTTAACTTGTGTTTCGCATAGGTCGCTGACGCCATCATTACAACTTCACAAGCAGCCAAGAAAACAGTGTTAGTGTAGCCCTTGGATGCTGAACCTTTCCTAAACTGACAAGATTGCCTTGGTACAAGGGAACCGTTTCTTTCAGGAGAAAATTCAGAAAAACCTTGCAGCAACAAAAACTTCCCCCTCGTAACATTTTTGACCCTGTCACTTCTATATTTCAACATGCGTTGTCCCTATAACCTGGTCACATGTGAACAGGCATATGTTAACCCCTAGCCATGCCAGATGCAACCTAACGCTACAGTGGCCCACTAGTACAGGGCGCTGTTAATTTGTGAACAAAAGACCTTTTTTTTCTAAGCTCTTGTAGATCTGTTCGATTCAGCAGGTTTTACACTTGCTGAGGTTTTAACAGCCAAGAACTAGAAAATCAGGGGTGAATGAATGAATTCCAAAATGTGATGGCTTGGTACAGCGGTGTGTCATTGCAAAAGGGCAAAACGAACCCATTCCAAGCTGTACAAGATTTTGAGTGGTTTTTCCAGTTTTTAATGGCATTCACAGGAAAAAAACTAGGTACCAGCCTGTTACAAAAATTTTTTAAGGATTAAAGACACTTTAGAACCAGTTGGCAGGCTTCACGCTCCTTTTGATGCTGTCAGCCTATTAACCACTTCCTGCCGGGGACTCCGAAATCGGAGACGTATGGTTTATATGGGTGGCCGGGTCT